GATATATTGCATATCGTCCCCTGAAGGTCGATCAAGACAAGATACAGCTGTTGTTCTTCTTCATCGGAGGCTTTTTCCGCGTCTCTGTAAGTTCTCTGGTCATTGTCTGCGTCCGTCTGCGTAGTGCCGGGCTCACGCGGCTCGGTAACTTCATCTGTTGAAGCAAGTCCCGAAACACAGCTGTGACGTTCTCTCCAGTTCGTGCGGACGTCTCCACGAACCCCGCGCCCCAGTCCTCCTCCACAGCGCGCATCACCTCAGCAGTGGCCTGGCGACTTCGGCTGCCCAAGTCCGCTTTGTTCTCTATCACCGTGATGCCCGTAAATTTCTCCCCTTTCATCTCTAGAATCTCCTCACGGAGCCGCTGCACCTCCTCCAAGGATTCTGGCTCGTCGGCGGCGTATACAAGCGCAAACGCGTCCCCGGTTCGGATGCACAGAGCGCGCATCGCTGGGAAGGAATAACTGCCGCTCGTGTCCAAGATCTCAATGCGCACTCTCGCGCCGTCCGTGTCGTACTCGAGCGCGTGAAGCTCTTCTACCGTGCGCGTGTATTTGGAGTCGAAGCGATCTTGCAAGAAGCGGGTGATCAGGGTGGTTTTTCCAACCCGGGCGGCGCCCAAAAACACAAAGCGCACCGTCCGATGCTCCTGCACCAAGAGAGACATATTCCTTAAGCGTTAATTTTATAAATTATAGTTTGCAGAAGAGATTTTTTAGATTTTTGCCATCGAGACCCAGTACTGAAGAAGAGGCAAGGATGATGCCCTTATATTACCTGAATGCGTCCTACGTAGCCTACAAGCTGTAGCCAATGGAAACGCGAGTGACGCGACGCGTGGGTTTCTGTGTTGTAGAGTTTCACAATATGAAAGACATTGTACTAATTATTCAATGAGTTCAGCTAGAGGTTATATGGAATTTTCGGGGCGCAAAAAGGTTCATGATCAGTCTCGAGAAACTTTATGATAGTGTTTCAAACACCAATGACCAAATGCGTTTTTTTGTGATATACAATAAAGTGATAATTAAGAGCCTAGCCCCGGAAGGCCAAGTTCGACTGACTCCACCAAATTTGATTTTTTATTAATTTAATTCATTTTTGTGAAATTCCTAACATTTGTGGATCATATTCTATTCATGCGTGAATTTGCTAAAACGTTTGAATCTCTTTACATTTATTTGTATCATAATTTATTTATTTGAAAATACAAAACAGTGTGAGACAATTCCAACGTCCCCATAATTGTCCCCTATTGTGTCACAATAATGAATGCTATTGTGAAAAGTTTATCGCTGTCTACTTTGTTGTTTCAAATATGTTTTTAATAGACATTTTTGAATTTGTGAGATGCAGTAGCCTGGTATAGTGTGCTAGTATGCTATTCTAAATAATGTGCTATAGGCTACTCCAAACAGGATGAGAAAGCCTGACTTCTTGTAGGTGTGGTTTGGCAAACTATAGAAAAGTTTTTTTTTTCACTCTGCCCTGGATAAGTAAGCCTATCTATCAGCAAGGTTAATTATTGAACTAATGTGTGAACAAGCTATTTGATGTCTAGTATTTAATCATCTTGATCTTGATGCATTGGCTGACCTTTCTAAGACTTTCATAAATTACCAGTTTAATTAGCTTAATTAGTCATCATGTTTCATCATGCTGTTAACTGTTGAATACTTATTGAAATAAAATATGTACACGGTTCAAAAGAGCATTATTTGATTGGTTAAGCAAGGCTATAGCCTAATTGTCATGTCAGAAACACCATCCTGAGGTCAGACATATTTAGTTTCATCAGAGATGATTTTCAATTCATTGCATATTAAAATCATGGTATCAGACGGTAGGCATGCAAAACACACTGTAACCTCAGAGGACCGACATTTTCCACCCAAACACTGTGTTTACGCATATCTGAGGGCTAAATGCGGTCAATGTGACTTTATCTGTCCATTTCCCTTGATCTGTTGCAACTGCCAATCTATCTGCGAGTAACATGAGAGGGTGATTAATTTGGCTTTCAGTTCTGCCATTTCTGCACATTTGTCTAGTATATTAGTCTATTTAATGTAGTGTATGAGTATTATATTAGTATATATTTATATTAGTATGATTATTTTTATTAGAGAAACTTCAAGCCTGTTCTGTTGCAGCGTAGAACTCGGGTGCATGTGACTTTTTTTATTATTATTATTTTTTACATCAGGCAGGAAATATCAGAGAGCATAGAGCTGACCATTTCTGTGTAAATCCCCAGGATTAGCATTTTAGGGAGACATCCACTTCACTCCACAGGAAGACACATTATGACAACACTATCACCTCCAAGGAACCGTGACGTAGGAGACCCACTGTCTTGAATGGACCTTTGCTGTCCATGCTTGCAGAGAATAAATGTCCTATCTGACACGAACACTAAAGACAATTTCAAATCAAGCAGATTATTAGGAGACATGTGCTTTTACTTTTCTGGAGTAACAAATAAGGTGTTTTGTCCTTGAGGGTGTCTTGTTTAGGATTGGTGGTGAGGAGGTTGCACCAGTGCGCCACTGAAATGAGACAGATGAGGAGGACCACTCACATTATCTTCAGAAAATTTGAAAATCATTAATTCCACCTATGTGCCTTCCGATTCAAATTCTTAAAGGAATAGTTCACCCAAAAACGAAAATTTGCCAAAAGTTTGCGCACCCTTTTGTAATCCAAGATGTAGATGAGTTTGTTTCTTCATCATAACATATGGAGAAATGTAGCTTTGCATCACTTGCTCACAAATGGATCCTACACAGTGAATGGAAATGAGAGTCCAAACGGCTGATAAAAACATTACAATAATCCATCGAGGCCTTTTAACTTTAAACCATGGCTTCTCGGCAAAATACCAGTCCATGAATCATAATAACACTTCCTGCAGTGACAAAGTCTTCAATGTTGTCCTCTCACATCAAAATTCACAAACATAGTTGTTTATAATGTTTTGAACTGTTTTTGCTTGTAAACAGCTTGACCTGTGCATATTTCTCTCCTGATTCAGACTAGACAACTCTTTATTTGGAGAAAGCAATATTATGGATATTGGGGACATATTTTAGCTAGAAGCAACAGTTTGAAGTTAAAAACATCTTAATTATGGATTTGGTTTTTACAAACACACAGCTTTTTGCTAAACAAGTCATTAATTGATGGACTGGAGTCGTGTGGATTATTGTGATGTTTTTATCAGCTGTTTGGACTCTCATTCTGACAGCACCCATTCACTGCAGAGGATCCATTGGTGAACAAGTGATGTACTACACTTCTCCAATAAAGAAACTAACTACATTTTGTATGGCCTGAGGGTGAGTACATTTTCAGCAATTTTTGAACTATTACTTTCTGGTTGATTGGATAGTTTAAGGAAATGAATAATAATTTGTTCATCCAGGACGGTGACAAGTCTGCTTACAGACAAGAGGTTGAGCAACTGTCTGTCTGGTGCATTCACAACAACCTGGAGCTGAACACGTTCAAAACTTTGGAGATGATAGTGGACTTCAGGAGAAACCCCACTCACTATCATGGACAGCACTGTGGCTGCAGTAGAGTCATTCAGGTTCCTGGGCACCACCATCTCTCAGGACCTGACGTGGGACAAACACATTGACTCTATTGTGAAAAAGGCCCAGCAGAGGTTGTACTTCCTTCGCCAGCTGAAAAAGTTCAACCTGCCACAGGCACAGATGACACAGTTTTACTCAGCTGTTACTGAGTCAGTTCTGTGCACTTCTATAACTGTCTGGTTTGGGTCAGCCAGCAAAATGGATATAAGAAGACTGCAACGGAGTGTCAAGACAGCTGAAAGGATAATTGGTGTACACCTGCCCAACCTTCAGGACTTGTACAACTCCAGAGTGAAGAAATGGGCAGGTAACATTATCACAGACCCCTCTCACCCCGGCCACAACCTGTTTGCATTTCTCCCCTCTGGTAGACATTACAGATCTCTGTGCACTAGAACATCTTGGCATAAAAACAGTTTTTTTCCCTCCATGCCATCTCCATCTTAAACAGCTAACACAGAAATGATTACCTGTTTTCTGTAATTAATTTCTCCACTTCCAACAATTGCCTGACTTTCAAGTATTATGTAAATACATATGCATATTTTTATTTATACAACTTTACAGTAAATAATGCACAAATCTGTACATAAATATTCTGTTCCAGATTTTACCACATTATTATTATTTTCTTTAGCCTTACTTATTTAATTGTTCTTTCTGTTCTCATGTCATGTCTGTCTGTCTATGTGTGTATGTACCAAGAGCTCCTAAAAAACCCCACATCAAATTCCGTGTGTGTTTGCACACACTTGGCGAATAAAGCTAATTCTGATAATAAAGTAATAATAAATAATAAGTTGCTTGCACGTGACACAATTGTCATGTGCATAAACTTCGATAAAACCTGCCATTATTTGCCACTTTTAGGGTAGTCTACTAACTTACACGTGGTTTTTATTTAAGCCAACTGACTACTTCGAGGAAAAAAAGGATTTATGAAGCACCATTCCCTAAATCAAACAGACTACTTTAGCTAATATTTAATCTACCGTACTGCTTTTAATGTTACAGCTGCGAGATAGAGATGACAACTGTTAAATCAGACCGCATAAACCACAAATCTGCTGCTTCCTTCACTAAATACTGAGGAAAAACGCTTAACAGACATTACTAAAGAGTCCGATGAGACGGATAATGAACATGTCTATCTAAATCTAAATCCTACTCTACTGAAGATCCTTTAATCTGGATAGAAATATGATATTAAAATATGATAGATTATATGTCTGTTGTTATAATGGACAATTTATTGTCCAGTGGCAGTAGCATAATCGAGTAACGCTAATCTGAAGGTCAGAGAATGTTATCTGTTATCGATTGGTTTTGTCTGCAGTCAGGACTCGCGGGAAGGTTGAGTGTGGCAAAATATTCCGGAAGTCTCGTCAGGTTAGAAACATAACCTGCATATCGGTTAGATGTTTGTGTGATTGTTTACAACTGGTTGTGATTCTCATGTTTTCATATGTCAGATTGATACTTTGATGTGCAAGCACTCGCGTCTTATCAGCAAACACAGAAATAACATATCAACATATTAGTTAATAGGACGTCAGAGGAGATTCTCCCTTATGAAGATAAAGAGACAGTAAGTTCAGTATGTTTATATATTTGTGGAAGCACCATTTAAAATAAAAAGTTTATTTGTATTGTCCAGAAAACTAACTAATAACTGCCATGGTCATACTATGTTGTTTTGGTCATGTACCATGATATTCTTTGAAATACCTTGGAGTGCTGTGTAAATACTATGGTACTTTATGGCAAACGGTGTAATGCTATGGTATGAACATCTGATATCCTCAATGTACCACAATAGTACTTTTTTGAAGGTACCGTATAATATTAGTATATTCACGATTAACATGTATTAATGTTTTTAGTGTTTTATTTCATGTTTTTACTTAACATGACAGTCATAAAAACATTATTTCATTTGTCTTCCATTTAATGTTTTAGCTGAGAAGACGACTGGAGCACCTGAAGCGAGAGTATGAGAGGACAGCACAGAGACTGCAGGTAAAAACATGCTGTATTTGTGGTTATGCGAGAATTTATGTTCAAACTGATGTTAACACTGTTAGACTGAATTGATTTCTGCAGTATAACAGTGCTTGAATTGTTAAATAATGGAACCTGTAATGAATATAATTGAACCCGTTAATGAATGTCTGTTTGATTTTCATTTAGAGAGCAGAGCATCATGATGCCATTCTCAGACGTGTGCAGAACAGACTTACACAGATTGACTTACCACACACATCTGAGACTTCTTCAGTGGCGACATCAGAATATTCTGAAAACCATCAGAATCTGCAGTTACAAACCAGTAAGGCTAACTTCAGTCTGACATTATAAATAGATCAAAACAGAACTGATAATATTGTGATTTATTGCTTTAGTGTCGTTATGCTCAAGCTAGTGTCACTATTCAAAGCCTCAGGAGTTTGAGAAACCATTTTTTTGCTATTGTATGTATACCATTTTAAGGTTTGACCAGACTTGCTTTAGTATTATTTATAATACTTCAACTTAACATATTTTATTTCAGCCTATTGCTGAGGCATTTTCTTTGTAAGTTTTTCATATATTTTTTCGAATATGAACACGATTTTCAGTTGTTTTAGTTGTAGTTAACAATAACAAATTATTTTTACAATATTTACCACACATTTTTTCACCATTAATATTTAAAGAATAGCTAAGGCAGTTGGGTGTATGATTAGGCAAAATTATCCTTTACATTGAAAAAGGACCAAAACATTTATTTACCCAGACAGTTCCTTTGATGGCCAGAGGCTGAGTGTGAGTAAATTGTCAGCAAATTTTCATGGCTGAAATATTCTTTTAAATTTGATAAAAATTATTTTCTGATGTGGTACTAAAGACTAAGCAGAATTTAGAGTCAGTGTGTCTTCAGTACATTATTTGTAGTTATACATATACTGTATCTTGTTTTCTTAGTATTTTAATTTTATAATTCATTATTGCTTTGGTCATGCTTGTGAATTTCAGGAACATGAAAATAGGCCAGCTGCTTCAGACTATATACCTGGAAAAGACTTTAACCATGACAAACTGCATGAAGGGATATTCTTACAGAGTAAGCGAGTGTATTGCTCTTGTGTCAGTGAGTGTGTGTTAAAAGAATGAGTATGTGCCAGTGAATACAGTGATAAACGCTTTCTTTCCTGCAGGGTGTGCTGTGTGTGTTACTTCAGAATGCTGGAAATGTGTGTGATAAAGAGAGTAATGCATCTGTTTTTACTCTGATTGCCACAAATCCTCTCACTGGCAAACACATCACCTCTATCAACTATCCCGATCAAGACAAACAGCAATAAGACTAGAAGCAATAAATGTTCTTATGTAAGAACAACACAATGTTAGTAGGGCTGGGCGGTATATCGAGTTAGTACGATATATCGATATTTTATTTATAAGCGATTCGATATGAGGCAATACCGTTGGTATTGCTGTCGGAAGTGCATGAGCCTTCTGCTTTGGGATTCTCCACTAAACTTCACAGACAGACTTGATTTAGAATGAGCGCTGCGCGCGCATGCGCGCCAAACAGACAGAGCTCAATTAAAAAGGAGCGCAATAATTCTGACTAAAATATACATTTCGCTGAAATATTTGTAGTTGGACAATAAATGTGACATGTAGAATTTTAAACCTACAAATAAGTCTATGATAGCACTGACTGTAAAGTGACTGTAATGGGGTAATCAAAATAACCTAACATTTATTTATTAATTTTCTCATTTATTTTCAGTTTTAGTTTAGTGAATTTAACCGCTTTAAAAGCCTTATTTTTGTTTTTAGATTGCAATGCTACAATGTTAGAATGAAATGTGATTTAACCATTTTTTGCACATAATATAAAGGCTTGCATGGTTATATTCACTTTATTTGTTTTCATAGCCTTTAATATGTATTGTTTTGTTGGACAACATTGGGCGGTAAGTGAAAATATATATATTAAATACAGATTTTGAAAATACAAATACAAAAACGAAAACACAGAGATATATACCGTATATCGCAAACCGGTCAAAAAATACCGAGATATGAATTTTTGCCCATATCGCCCAGCCCTAAATGTTAGCAGTAAAATCAAATCAGTACATATTTGTCTCTTTATCTAGGTTAAAAGATGGTGATGTCTTGGGCTCTGGGCTTGTTGGTGTTTTCCAGTCTGGTCATCTTGCTGTTTGGGATCTCGGAGGAAGTGTGCATGGCTAAAGTTGTCGGTGTGCTGACTGAGTTGTGTCGACTAGCCCGCTGGGCAGGACCAGACACGCTGCTGACTGGATATCTGAATGGGGATGTTAGTGTGTTTCATATAAATCTACATAAACAGACCATACATCTCTAATCACTTTTATTACTTGTTAATAAAATAAAAATGTGTTAATTAATGCCATTGTTAATAAACATTCAAAATGTTACACAGGGTGTTTGTTGAATACAGTTAATATAAGCATGGCCAGGGAAATATTTGTATTTGGATGTGATATGTAAAATATATTTTACAAAAAAAAAATCTGTGAATTGACTTAAACACTTTTAATGTCTTTAATGCTGAGATTAAAGTTTTTAGCTGAGAAAATGTCAAACGATAATTTTTTTGTCCCCTACTAATATGTAACGAAGCATTCATAGTCACGTTTATATGATGGATGTGAGATGTGTGCGTGCGTGCGTGTGTATAATACACACAACATACCGCATTAATAAAGAGGAAAAAATGACAACTTCGCTTTTATAGTTGACGATTGATTTTCTTTTATTGTGGTAATATGTACTAACATTAAATGTAGTTTATTTATTGATATTAAAGTTAAACATTTACTTAAGTTACATTCATAGATTAAAAAAAAAAAAAAGTATCAATTCGAGAACTAATTTTGGATTCAGTGTGTCGCGCATGCGCAGTGGCAGTCTCGTGCATTGTGGGAGCGGATTGAGAAACATGGCGGCGCGCATCATTGCCCGGTGTGTCCGATCACTGAACCACCGTTCTGTATATTTTAATCGTATCAATACTACCGCGACGTTAACAGCAGCTCCGCTCACCCATGACCGAACATTTTCATATCTGACTAATGGACACAAATCTCCGCTGGCGCAGGTGTGTGTTAGTTATGGACTCATGACATCCAATGACCTACCCGTGCCTTTAGTTAGAATTACTTCAGCCTCATTTCAGTGTATTAACTATATGCAGCCAGAAAATAAGTTTGAACCAAACGAGCTGCATCTACCATTAAGGATAATGTTTCTAATTTAACTTCAAATGTTATTATGTGGCTGAATAGAGACTGGTCTGTAATATGTTTTGTTTTTTAATTATCTCTTTTGCAGTAACCAGTTCTGGGTTTTATATTGCAATGGTTTATATACATGTATGCATTGCAAGATTGTATGTATACCTTTATAATCGTTTAAAAGTTTATGTATTGTTAGCTGTCTATATATTCTGTGTACTGTGTGTGTATAGTATGTTTGCTGCATCTTTCTTTCTTTCACATATACATTCTATGACATTTAACAAATATAAGAGTTACTTATTACCTCATCATAATACTCATGTATCATCGGCTATTATTGAACTGAACCTCCAGTTCAGTGTTGTTATTGTTAACTAAAACTTAGAATTGTTTTTGTTAACTGAAATTGGAAATATAAATATTAAATGAAAAACTTAAAATAATAATTTTTCTTTTAAAAAATTTTGCCTTGGCAACTAAGTGAAATAGGTGAGTTTTAAGCTGAAGTACTAACATTACTAAAACTGAATCAAATTAAAGCTAAATAGAAATAACAATTCAAAACAAAACAACTAATACTAAAATAATACTGCTCCAGTTGTCTGTCTTAAATAATCTTTGTAAAATGTATTTTCTAGGATGTTTTGTTTTCTTTTGTAGATCTCCAGCAGCTCATTTCAGGTCTTGCAATGGAGGCAGTATGGTGACTTGCCCCCATTAACCCTAGAGACTATTCATGACCGTGTCCTCTACGTCTTGAAGCTCTATGACAAGATCAACCTTGAGAAGGTAAATACTCCATCGGTTTGATCAGATAGACATGTTTGACTGAAATATTTCAAATTATCTTCAAATATATTGCATACAGCATATTAAGTGTGTTTGATGATATTTTAAAAGTATTTTACTTATTAGCTTCAGGCTACATCTCACTTCATGAAGGATTTGGGATTGGACAGTTTAGACCAGGTGGAGATCATCATGGCCATGGAAGATGAATTTGGTATGTAATTGCATTTACAATAGTTTATATTCTAATTTCAAGCATAATGTTTCTCCCATTATGACCTTTGCTTTATATTGATGTATTATTTGAATGTATGCATTGTTTTTTTCTGGTGTATAAGGACTTTTTATACTTGGTTATGGATGTATATATCTAGTACCCAGTTGATAAAGTGTTTGCTTTCACGTACAGGTTTTGAAATCCCTGATGCTGAAGCAGAGAAGTTGATGACACCACAAGAGATTGTTCAGTACATCGCAGACAAGAAGGATGTTTATGAATGAGCATAAATAATCATTGTGAGTTTAATTACTAGATCTTCTGACAATTTGTGTCACTTCAGGTGAACCTTACACTTATGGATGCTTGTTTGTTCTTTTTCGTCCAGATAAAGATAATCCCATCAAATGACAAAGACCATGGAGCTTTTGTCACAAATTGTTTATGTTTCTGCTGTTCTTCTTTATTCTTTTTGTATTTAGATGCATGTTTAAATCAGTGTTCATAATTGTGTTGGTCTGCAGCATTCTCTGCTAGATACATTCACAAGCTCCTCTTTCAAACAATGAGAGTGTGCAAATAATGTGAATGTCATATGATTTCTAGAAAATAAAGACTTTAAATCAGTTTAAAGGACCTTATTTATGTCTTCAGATCTATGTTATGAACCTGTGCCAATGTGATCAGTCTGTTCATCAATAGATCCAAGGGTTTGTTTTTTTGACAGTTTCTTTGTTTTCTGTTATGTGGGTATAGAAAAGAATCCCACCCCCCTTTAAAATAATCAAATTTTGTTGCTTTGCAGCCTGAAATGAAGACGGACACAGTTTTTGTTTTATCCAGCTGTATTAACTCAGTGCAACTTATAACATCCAAGTGAAAGATATAACACCAACATGTCACTTAGTTCCAAGATCACAAGATCCTTCATTCTAATATGCTAACATTCTAATATTTTGTGCTCAAGAAACATTTATTATTATCAATGTTGAAAACTGTTCTATGCTTAATATTTTTGTGGTAAATTTTTTCAGGATTTTTAGATGAATAGAGAGTTTAAAATAACAGAATTTGAAATAAAAATATTTTATGTTATAAATGTCTGTCACTTTTGATCAATGTAATATGTCCTTTCTGAATAAAAGAAACATGAATTAAAAAATCTTACCAAAATGTTGAATAGTAATGTATAAAACAAGAAACTTAACGATTTCACATTTATATTTCAGATTGGCTGTATTTGGTTTGTTATAGCACCGCCTACTGGAAATTCTTTCCAAGTCTAATATTTACCCGAAGACTTTTCCAGAGTTTGAGCCAAGACAGTTTAAACAGGTTATATTAGGAAGCAGTACTTAATCTTGACACCCTGAAGTTAATGCTAATAAAACTAATACAAAATTCCACTATAACCTTTAACTAACACCAAATAACATTAAGCTGTTGACATTTATTGCAGTGTGGGTTTAAAATAGTGATACTTTGACATTTTTGTTCATATTTGCATATGGATTCCTTTAATGCCATTTCTAAAGTCTGTATTTCAGGATCGGCTCCTCAGCATAAAAGAACTGTCTGTATTTCCTTCAGAATATTTAAAACATTAAATATTACACAGTCAAATAATCTGCCTGTAAAGCAAAATGCAGAGAACGTGATTTCAGTGAGAACTAATGTATAACACAATTTAGGATTCCAGCAAAACTATTAGATGATTTATGATATATCGTTCATCCTTAATTAGACTTTAAATAAGCAATATGTCATTTTTATAAAAGCATGCATGGTTTATTCAAACTTGGGGTTTAAATTTAAAAAGCTTGGTGTGCAAGAGAAGAACTTTGGTTGATGTTAAGTTCAAAAGGGCTTAAATTTAAAAGACACTCCTATATTATGGACTTAAATAAGCCCATGTTTCCTTTTCAGGTGTAATAAATCCTTTGCCCTCCCTCTGTGTTTATGTGTGTGTTAGTATGTCAGTGGACTTCTGCAACGTACCTCTTGCTGTGATGATGAGAAGCTAGGGAGGGACGCTCCAGGCATTTCCTCCTTTTTTTTGTGTTTGTGAATGTCAGGATTTCTGTGCATTAGGAAAAGGTTAGGCAAAGTTTTAAAGGGGTCATATGATGATGCTAAAAAGAACATTATTTTGTGTATTTGGTGTAATGAAATATGTTTATGCGGTTTAAGAACTTAATTTGAAATGAAATGATGAAATTTAAATTAGGCAAATGTTTGAGTTTTATTTAATCTCAGAATAACTTTTTAGTTTGTACTTAGCTTGACAAATACGGCTCCAAAGGAGAAACTGGTTTGACCTTGAAGGACTGTGTGTCTACAAATCTGAGCTATTTAACATACCCTCACACAAAAGTATTGAGGTAATACTGTGGTAGGCTATTCCTTGGTTTAGGTGCATTCAGTCTCCAAGTGTTGTCTGAAAAGTCTTGATTTTGAGACACAGACACTGTGCCAACGATCTCTGAATGACCTTATATATGTAGTTAATCTATTTTCTAGTTTGAATTGACAGCACAAGCTCGTCAGGGGAGCGCAAACAAACACTCTCTCTGTTTTCTCTCACACAAACACACACAACCTGGGTTATTAACCTAATCTTGGAATCTCCTCTGTTCCCTTAACTTTTAACCGCTTCCGTCCCATTTTCCCTCTTAAAAAGATGCCTAATCGTAATCATATGTCTGCACAGTGTCCTGTTTTCTACAGCCCGTAGGCGAGCTCGCGCGCTCACAGAAACGCACATGCTCGTGCGAAACTCATAAAGTGAGCTGCGGTCGGTTCCACAAGGTTTCTGCGGAGGACTGAAGGATGAGCTTAACTCTTCTATAAAGGTCTTAAAAACAGAAAGAAAACTGATAAGATACATTTGACTAGTTTAAGTATTGTCTACATCATATTTTAGGGTTGTTAAATAATCTTTATGGAATTAACTGTGAGAACGGATACCTTCCTGGAATGTTTTGGCTCGCAAAATGCGTCGTTTTGTGTATCTTTTCTTATTTATTTTCTCTCCAGGTAAGACGTCCATTTCATTCATATACGAAGAGATATTGACATGCTAAACACAGTATAAACCTTGTTTAAAATGTGTCGATTAGCCACTCTAGATTATTTAGAAAAAATGTAATTTATGTAGTTTTTAAAGAGTTATATTGTGATTAATCTTATCCTTATTAAAAAATGATCACGGTAACCTTAAAATGTACCGTAGTGGGCCTAATTATAACATGGTACTGAATTATGCACCACAGAATTTACACACAAAACATACTGTTAAAGTACAAAAGTAATTCAAAATATACCATGGTACTGAAATTCATGACGTAACTAAAAATATGTAATGATTCTTAATATATTGAAGGTGATGGTGATGATGTTTGTCTGTAGGAAACACACTGTTGAACTTGAGGCAAAGCTGTGGAGGGAAAATTCTTGGAGAGAGGACAGGCTCAATTCAGTACTCTTTACACCCAAACAGCCTTTTATTTAACAGAATTACCAGCGACAGCACAGAAAAACTGTTGGACGTTACCTGCACATGGATTATTGATGCACATGAAAATCAGACTGTTTGGATAGAGGTAATTTCTGTTGGGGAAGGTGCTCATATTGGAATTAAATTTGGGAATGGGAATACACTGACCTATGAAAGAGAGGAGCGGGCGCTATTCTCTGGCACTGGGAGAACCATCATTGAATGGAGCTTGAGAAGGACTGATGAAACCTTTGCCACATTACATCTGAGTAAGTCACTTAAAACAAGACCAAGTTTTTAGACATGGTCCCATCTTAATACCATCTTTGGACATGTATAATTCCAATACCACAGACAGTACTACATGTACAAATCAACATAGAATGATTTCTGAAGAATCTTGTGACACTGAAGACTAGAGTAATGTCTACTGAAAATTCAGCTTTGCCATCACAGAAATAAATTATATTTTAAAATAAACCAAAATAGAAAAGAGTTATTTTAAATTGCAAATTTTTTTTCACAATTTTACTGTTTTACTGGATTTTAAAAATAGCCTTGGTTACCATAAGAGAATTCTTTCAAAAACATTTAAAAAAATCTTACTGACCTCAAAATTTTGATCAGTAGTGTATGTTAAAAGTATGAACAATACCCAGTGAGAAGGTTGTTGTATGTTTGTTTATTTCCCGTAGTGTTGGAATCTTGTGTCTTGAATAATTTCATAATTCCTGTTTCCATTCATCTTTGCGTGTGTGTTTTTCTCAGAATGGAACACGTCAGAGGACAATCACACTCTTGCTTTGATTCCTTACACCCACTCTGATGCTGACCCAGTGTCTCCCTCTCCGAATGGCTCAAACAATGTAACCAACATCTCTGACATTGCAGTGAGCAGCAATGCAACCCCTAAAACACACTCTCTCAGGGGTGAGACTATACAGCAGGGCGGAGGTGTGTCTGACCTGGACGATAAGCGCAAACCCCTCTTTCCGCAGGAAATCACCAACAATGGAAAGGAAACGGCTGGAGCCTGGATCTCCGACTTTCCACTCACTGGCATACATTCTTATTCTGATACACAAACCAGCTTTGCCCTTGACACATACGTGAACACGCTCGCAATATTGTCCACTGAACCTTCTTTTGCTCAGTCATCCACTGAAATCCAATTACCACTGCTGTCTGTACAAACTACACCCCGACAGGCAACTGATGTGGCTACAACAAGTGCACTTTTAGCCACAAATGATGTTGCACACACTGAATTACATAGAGGAAGTTCACAGCACATGCACACACATGCACATGCATTGCACAAAATTCACTCCAAAACAAGTCAAAGAGGTGATCCAATTTCAATGTTTCCGACTTCCAGCTTTATGACAGTAAGTCCACATTATATTCAGCCATTCAACGAAACTTCTAAACATAAAGACTTCCTTAGTGACAGTTCTTACAAGGCTAAAGCAACCACAGTGACGGTCCCAAATAAAGATTTGTTTACAATATCAGAGAACACTGGGACGAGTCAATTTGATTCAATTTTTTGGAGTTCAAACACAATCTCAGATGACAACCAACCTATATCATCAGAGATGGACAGGACAGATCGCTCTCCAAGGTCAACTAATCCAGATCAAAACATTACTAATCAAACAATCTATGATGATTCAGTACTCACTACTAGTACACCTGCTACAGTATCAAAGTTTCTAGATGTTAATCAAACCAACACATTAGCTTTTTCTGAAAGCGACACAGCTGAATACTCAGGTTACTCCATGTCTCCAAGTGAGCCACCAATAAATGTTACCAGTGAGAATGAGCCAACAACTTCAGACGAGTTCATGCGCACTTCACGGAACACACTTGCAACTCCAACTTTAACTTCTTTGGAAACATCAACCACCCACATTTCACACACCATCCAAAGTCAGCACGATACAAGCACCCAAGAAATCAGCTCTGCATCTTCGTCAAGCTCTTACTGGACTTCAGACAACAATAAAAAAATCAGTGCCTTCACCACCTTGCCAACTACCATCCCTCCAGACCTGACCCCTACTAAGAGTCCTAGTACACCAGAAGGGGACATGGGTCTGCTACCATCTGAAAGTGATTGCCTCGGTCATGC